AATATGGCTTTGTTAGTTTCCAGTTTAGAATGCAGTTTGTGAGTCCTTCATAGGGGTTTAATGTTATTTATGACTTAATGGAGAAACTACAGTTTGGTATAATTTATGATAGGTAATGTGTCCTGCTGCTGCTGCTGACTTCATATGCATTGAACCTCAAGCTCATTAAATTCTTATCTCTGGCTTTTGTAAAAACTATTTCATGCAATCTGTGTTGACCTGGAGAATGCCTGTGAAGTGGGGAAGTGACACTTGAAAGAAGATAAATCCAGGCTTGATCCTCCCTTTCTCAGCCTTGAAGTAGGCAAGAATACCTAGGGATTCTCTACCTGTGTTTGGAATGAACAATTAGGTATAATGAGGGGAGGTGTGCACTAAAAATATTGATCTGGCTTAAAGTAGGATAGACTGGAGATTCTTTGCTTGTGACTTTATTGTATGGTAAGAAGGTAAATACAGTACATATTATCAATAGGATGAATCAGGGCTAAGCTGGGAACTTAAGAGGGAAGCTAGACTGAATTCATTGACTGCAGTTCCCTGTCTTATGGTTCAGACCTGCATTTTCTTTTCCAGTGCTTCAATTAGTAATCCTAGACCAGGGTTTTTCAACCTTTTAACCCAATGTACCACTTTTAGGATATGGCAACATCCAAGTACCACCAGTTGCCTAGCAAGGTGTCAAAAACTTGATGACTCCCCCAAAAAGGAAAAAAGTGATAAAGTACAGTCCTTGACTTACAAAAGTTTGCTTAGTGACTGTTCGAAGTTACAATGGCACTGAAAAAAGTGCCCCCCAAGCCACAGCTGAGCAAGACACCTGCCTGCCCACCTGGCAGCACTCTTCCTCCTGTCCGAGGTTTTCATTGTTGTGAACATTTCTGTTGAGGATTGGTAGCGGAGGTGGGGTGGGGTGTTTGGTTTTTATTCCCCCCATCTACTGGGTAGTTGCAGCAGGTTTTGATCACTTCACATGATCCTGGGATACTGTGACCGTCATAAATATGAATCAGTTGCCAAGCATCTGAATGTAAATCACAAGATCTTGGAGATGCAACATTCCAGCTGATCGGCGCTTTTTCTGGGCTCAGCAGAAGCACCAGGATCAGTGCTGCTTTCTAGCTGATTGGTGTTTCTTCAGGGCTCAGCAGAAGCACCAGGATCAGTGCCGAGCTCCAGCTGGAGCCTGGCACTGATCCTGGCGCTCCCGCTGAGCCCTGACAGCCCTGCAGCTCCAGCCATCTCTCACTCAGGCTTGTGGAGTGCTGCCACTGCTTCAGCTCATTCCCCTCCCCTGCTATCACTTTTCTAGGATGGTCACGTACCACCTGCCAGGTGCCAATGTACCACAGGTGGTACCCGTACCACTGGTTGAAAAGCCCTGTCCTAGACCAACTTATTCCTCTTTTGGTGTCTTACTTTTGGAACAAATAAACTAATGACTGAAGAGAAGAAACCAAGACAAAGGGAACAGAATAAATTCATTTCTCACTAGTTAGCCTTCTGCTGAAGCACCAGGGGGATGAAGAATGTGTTAAGAATTGTCTGTGTGATGTTACATTTTAATTGTTAAAATGAACATCAGCCTCAATGGAGATTAATCTGGTTAACTGATTAATTTCTTTTGACGAGAGCTAAGCTGAATTCCACCCCACTCTTTTCCCTGTTTCTAAGAGTCCATTGAGGTTTCCAGCAAAGGCCTTGGCCCTCTGTAGAGAAGGTGACCTGAGCATGTTAGAGGCAGCAGCCAACACCATTAAGGACAGTGATGTATGCAGACTAATTAACAGTTTGAATGAGAAAGCATATATCTCTCTGAACCAACTGCCTGCCAAGTAGTGAGGAGATAAAAGGGAAGCCAACAAGCCCATGTTTTGTCAGCATTTTCTGATCAAATATACCATTAAGCCCAAAACAGTGTAAAAGACAAAACAAATTACATATTATAATGAGATATAGGTCCTGGGCACCAGGAGAGGTAATGCAGTCCAGCAGAAATGGTACCAAACAATTTTTCCATGACATAGTGGAATTCATAGTATGCACACCAAGAGCTTATGCACCTGAGACAAATTCCTTGCATGTCCATTAACACTTGGCCAATAAAGATTCTTCTTCTTCTTCTTCTTCTTCTTCTTCTTCTTCTTCTTCTTCTTCTTCTTCTTCTTCTTCTTCTTCTTCTTCTTCTTCTTCTTCTTCTTCTTCTTCTTCTTCTTCTTCTTCTTCTTCTTCTTCTTCTTCTTCTTCTTCTTCTTCTTCTTCTTCTTCTTCTTCTTCTTCTTCTTCTTCTTCTTCCCCTTCCCCCTCCCCCTTCTCTTCCCCTTCCTCTCCTCCTCCTCCTCCTCCTCCTCCTCCTCCTCCTCCTCCTCCCCCCCTTCTCTTTGGCATTTGCATCACATTTATAATTCGTTGTACATTACCTACATTAACCAAGTGCTACATGACTATACTGAACACCTTTCACCTTTCATTCCAAAGTGATGCATAGTGCTAATTTGTATTATCTTTGAGTAGACTACTAAAGAAAAGGAAAAACTCTATATAATTAGAATTGCACAGATGCCTCTATAAAAGTAGGATATAGGCACATATACATACTCACACACACTTCATTGGAATGCCAAGCTATCTTTTAATACTTTGCTATGCACCATCTCAGTTTAGATTCCCCTTGTGTCTGCTATAGCTCCCATTTTCTGCATGGAAAGCTAATTTTGCAGGGGTGGGGGGAGAAGAGAAATGAAATCCAGGATGAGAATTAGGATGTTAATGGCAGACAAGGTATTAATGACTTCCATCTGTCACAGTAGGACAGTCTTCTTCTTTTGCATTTCAAGAAGCCATCCACACAATTGTTAATTGTGTGAATAATGCCATATTTAGTTTTATTATTTAGCTACTACTAATTTAAAAACAAATCCCAGAAAGAAATTGTATAATACAAAGGTTTGGAAAATAAAAACATTTTAAGGATTAATTAAGGAGAATTTTTAGATGGAGATAGAGAGAACAGGTTTTTATGGGTACAAAATCTCAAGTTTTATCATTTTATAATTTCAGGCACTGAAACATATTTTAGTTCCCCATCTTTTTTTCTGTGGAAAGGAGAAATTCATCCTTTCAGTTTTAACATTCATAGTATAAATCAGTGTTTTTCAAACTTGGCAATTGAGTGGACTTCAGTTCCCCATGTAGGCTGAGAAATTCTGAGAATTTGAAGTCCACTCATCTTAAAATTGCAGATTTTGAAAATATTGGTATAAATAAATACTTCTAATGGAGAAAAGTATTTCAGGTAACACCAAGCATCACAGAAAATGAGGATGAAGTGGAAGTAGGATGGGATAGGCAGGAGAGAAGGCATGCCAGCATCATTGAATGCATCCTGCCCAATACTTGATTTTCTAGGAATGGGCATTTCCTGACTGAGTGATTATTCCAGAATTTTAGTGATTTATGTGAATGTAAATTTCAATTCATGTTTGAAAAGGCCTTTGCGTCTATCCTATATATACCAATGAAGAAGAATCTTCAATTAAGTTTGTTTGATTTTAATGCTAGGCAAAGAGAATATAAGATTACAGCACAAGAAATATAACAAGGAGCCGAGGTGGCGCAGCAGTTAGAGTGCAGCAGTACTGCAGGCCACTTTAGCTGACTGTGTTCAGCAGGTCAGCGGTTCAAATCTCACCGGCTCAAGGTTGACTCAGCCTTCCATCCTTCCGGGGTAGGTAAAATGAGGACCCAGATTGTTGGGGGCAATGTAAATATATATATACATTGCTTACTGGTGTACACCGCTTAGAGAGTGCTTGCACTTAAAGCGGTATATAAGTCTCATAAATAAATAAATAAATAAACTTGCAGAACATTTGTTAAGAAAAATAAAAGAAGACACCAATGCACGCAATAAAATTGCTATAAATGATCACATAGCATGTTAATCAATAGTGAAAATACTTGTTAGGACTAGGCTTTCTCAAATTTCTGTCCTTCAAATGCTGACAAAGGAATTACGGTAGTTACAATATGACACATTTGTAAATCAAAGTAACTTTGATTTAATAAAAAAAAATAATGTGTGAACATTCCAGTATTCTCTGGAATCTTTGGTACTTTTTGATCTTGATTGTTTTATTGCAGAGATTTCATTACTGATTAGGTAACATCTCCAGTGCTAGAAGAGAGTGGTGTTTGATCTCTGTTTATATATGGTAGCTTGCCCTGTCAAATTGATAGGGGTATTGTTTTCTCTTTGGTAGTTCTTTGATTAGGATGTTCTTTCTTACTTCATTGTTATCTAGTGTAAATCTCTGCTTACCTGGGCTGTTGATTGGTGAGGAGGTGTTATGGTGTTTTTGTTTCCTTTTTCTATTGCCTCTTTTGAATGGTATGTAAATATTTATCTCTATGTGCCTGTTGATGGCTGAATTGTCTAAGTGCCAAACTTCCAAGAAGTCTCTGGTAATTTTGGATTTAGTCTGGTTTAGGATGCTCAGTTTTCCAGTTGAAACTAGGAGAGTATCTGTCTATTATAATGAAATTAAGGAGTTATCTTTAAAAAGACCAGAACATCTCTTTCACTAGTCAATACACAAATAAGCAGGGATTTACACTAGATAAATAAACAAGCAATAAATAATATCCTAATCAAGGAACTACCAGCTTGGACAAACAATCAAACAGTAAGCAACAGCCTAATCAAGGAACTACCAAGGACAAACCATGTCCCTACCAAGTTATTGTATGTAAACAGAGAGCAAATCCTATTCCTTTCTAGCACTGAAGATGTTATCTAGACAAGTAACAACATATCTGCAAGAAAATAGACAAGCTCAAACAAAACCTGGGACTCCACAATTTAGCCCTGAGCTATATGTACCCTACTGGACGTGAGTGTCCTGGGGAAGTTCCAGGCAGAGGGAGAAGTAAATGAGCTCCCTTCCCCATCTTTCTTTCAAGAAAGAGTAAATTCATGTGCTGTTTTCTCTTCTCCACAGTTGGGTCCAGGAGTTCCTAAATGAAGAGAATAGAGGTCTTGATGTGTTGGTGGATTATCTCGCCTTTGCCCAGTGCTCTGTCACGTAAGTTCACTGTTGTTAACTAAAAGCAATAAGTAAGGAAAAAAGCAGAATTGTGATGAAGGTTCTGTCATAAACATAGCTTTAAAACTGGGAGTTGCTTGATCAATTGTGCAGGGAACACAAGTCTGGACACCAAATGATATAAGGATGCCGGTAGCTGCTTTATCTCAATAGTGTCACTTTTTAGGTAGGTTTGATATTGCTTAGAGAGACATTCCTTATTTAATTATAAATTGTTTGAAACATTACCAAGGGAATTTTGAGATCATGTTCAGGAGAAGCCTGCTATCCTGTTTAATGGGGAAAGAGCATAAAAACTCCTTGACCTCACAGAAATAATTTCCATGACCTTTTGAGAACTGCACATGCATGGTATTTTGTCTGTATACACATATGCATGAAATTGGTATCAGACTATCCTTTTAGAAGGGAGTTCTACTAGTGAAACTTATCCAAGATTATATATTCTTTCAGCACTTGTCACTTTCCAATGAATCAGTTGACACAAAACAATTACAATACATGTTAAACCTCAAACAAAATAGCTCAGTGATGGCGAACCTTTCAGAGATCGAGTGCCCAAAAACTGGCCCTGCCCCTGCTCCACCCCCTGTCCCTGCCCCGCCCCCACTCCACCCACTCTGCCTGCCCACAGCGCCACTCATCGCCTCCAGGGCTTGCCGCAGATCGCCCAGGCAGCCCAGCAGCACCACGGCAGCCACACCCTCTGCCCATGCCCCACAGCATCAACTGTGCGCATTGGGGCATGAGGGCAGAATCTTGCCTACGCTGCCTGGCTGCCATGTCCTTGGCTGCACTGCTCCGCGTAGGCCACCAGGGAGGCTGCTGGTGAGGAGGGGGTCATGGGTGGAGGCAAGGCTGGGGCAATGGCATGTGTGCCCACAGAGAGGACTCCAAGTGCCGCCTCTGGCACCCATGCCATAGGTTTGCCACCACTGAAATAGCTTGATAAGTTGTTGATAACAAGAAAGGTGATAATAACGGTTTGGGCCAAAATCATATTTAAGACAGGAAAGCAAGGTTTCCCAGCACATAGATTTCTTCTTTTAGTTTTAACATTGGAATTGCAAAGCAAGAATTGGAAAAAACATTTTCAATGTAGGTTAATATCAGTCAGTTCCAACTGTGTCAAGAAAGAATCAGCAAGAGAAATGTCAAGTTACACTAATAAGAGTGTTTGCTGTTTTTGCTGAAACTGTGCTCCCAACTGAGGATAGATGAGTCATATAGGAGCCATAAGGGTTCTCCCCCCTCCCACTTCCTGGTACAGGAAACTAGAGGGTGGCAAACTTGTAATTCTTCGCCTGATTTTACAAACTTCTACTTAATTTCAGGAGACTTCTGCAAGGTATCAGTTCTGAAAAAACTATTTTTTTATGTTAAGGAAGAGAGAGAGAGAGAGAGAGTTGATTCTGCTAACAGACTAGCATTGGTCTTACTAAAATGAACCCTCTGTAAATCATTTCAAAGGAAACATAATACTTTATAGAAAAAAACCTTTTTCTGTTAAATATATTTTAATCATATACAACTTTACTGAGGAGTAATTCCTCAATAAATGAAGAGATTTAAGCCATAGTGATATGAGTGGTTGCTTCTCTAACCATGACTGTCAGTCTAACACCAGTGTCAGAATCCAATTATATTTCATCTTTAATTATCAAACATAGAAACTCCCAATTCTGCCTTCTCTGGATTCTGCCATAAGAGGGAGAAAAGGGGGAGAGCAAAGGGGCTTTATGGCCCTCACTTCCTTCAGCACACTTCAAAGGACTGAATGTGTGTTTATTGTGGCCTCTAAGCTTTAACATATCAAAGAAGAGTAATTGCCTTTCATGTAGTTATCTGAAGTCTCCATCCAGACGGAAGAAGAAAGGGGATGGAATTGTGATACTTGAAACTATCACTGGAAGGGGGGTTGATTGGGTGGGACTACTGGGGAACCCCTTAAAAACTTGAATGGGAGAGCTTGAACCCCAAGTCCTGTCTAGCATGCCTGCAACCATTTTCTCTTAATAAAGGATTCCTGTTGGAAGAGCTATTCCAAGAGTTCTGTCTTCTTAAGATGCAAAGTGGGGTGGGTCCTTACATTAGACAGGACTTGCAAAATTAATCCACCTGGAAGGTAGACCCTTGCCGGGGATTTTGCAAAAATTTACCATGTCAGACAACGAAGCAAGAGAGGGAGAAAACTCCCTGGAAAGAGAGCCGCTGACCCAGCTGGAACCTTGCCAGATGTTGGGATCCGAGAGGCCAGATTTCTCAGAAGAAGAAATGGTGGAGACACAGGACCACAAGCCTAGCTGGTCGATGGGCGTTGGAAAGAAAAGCGAGTGGGGAAAGGAATCAAGAAAAGTGACCCTGAGACGGGGGACCACGCAACCAGAATGGAAGCAGGAGATGGAGAAATCCCTGCACGCAAGTGAAGAGGGAGGAAGCTGTATGCCGTACTCAGACTGGATCCTAGAGAGAGCTATTGACCTGATGAAGAGAACTCTCAGCGCCCTAGGAGAGGAGATTCCTGAGCCCTACGCCCGCCCCAGTTCCTGGAGCCACAAAGGGAGAGACACCGAGGGGGACGTGGAACCTGCAACCCCAGGGACATTTACTGATCCAGGAGCTCCCACCCCTACCGGACCACAGATGGAAATCTGGACGGAAGACACTACCACCCACAATGGAGGCACCGATCCATTCCAAGACGTCCACCGTTTGAGGTGAAATTCAAAGGGGAGCCAACACGCTTGGGGTTTTTCCTAACCCAAGTCCTCAGCTACATGGAGGAATATGGGCAGGACATCCCCAGCGACAAAGCCCGCATCCGGATCGTGCAATCTGCCCTGGATGGACCAGCTGCAGATTGGGTGGTGAAACTGCATGACTCCAATGCCCCAGAACTCAGTAACTTCAACCGTTTCATGTCCTCTTTGAGAAGACGATTTGAAGACCCCCTGGCTGATCGCAAAGCCCGTGAAAGAATAACAACGATGAGGCAGGGCAAACGCCCAGTGGCCGAGTATACACAAGAATTCCGAGCCATTGCCAGCAAACTGAATTGGCCAGAAGACATCCTCCTTGGCCGTTTCAAAGACGGACTAAACTATGATCTATATGATGCTTGCCTGCCCCGAGGAGACCCACATCGACTTGAGGAATGGTACGTCTTGGAAGAGGAAGCAGAGATCGACATATTGAAGAGGCATCGCCGAGGAAAACAATGGAGCCGCCCCCCGCCTGAGCTGACACACCAACCGGTGAAATCATCGGATACAGACAAGAAGCAGATGGGGTGTTTCAAGTGCGGAAGAGAAGGGCATCGAGCTGTAGAATGCCGCTCAAAGGCCCCCCAGCACAACCCAGACAGATCCCCAATCAACAAACCCAGAGGGTATTCAGCTAAGCCAAAAGAAACAGCCATGAAAATGATGGAAATTGCAGAAAACCCCACCTCTGCTCACCAAGGGGAAAGAACTCCAGCCTACACCACAGGGACGGTGGATGCCTCAGATGACAGCTCGGAAGGCGAACCCCTGGTAAGTGGACGCATCACACCCATCTTCAAAACAGTGACTATATTAATCCCCCCCATGCCCGAAGCTGTGAAGGTGAAAGCCTTAATAGACTCTGGCTGCACCCGCTGCCTCATTAGCCCAACACTAGTGGGGAATCTGGGCATCCCATCCAGGAGACTGGAACAACCAATCTCATTTGGCCAGCTAGATGGATCCATAGCAGGGGGGGTGCCAGCTACCCTAGCCACTCTGCCAATACACCTCTCCCTGGGCAACCATGAAGAGGACATAACGTTTGTGGTGACCCCAGGTATGGAATGCCCAATGATTCTAGGGATGGAATGGTTGAAAAAATGGAACCCCTGGGTAAATTGGAGGACGACAGAAATCAAATTCCCGAAGGGGGACCCTATGGACTTAAAACCCCAAGAGAGGCTACCAGAATCAAGAATAGAAAAAGCATCCATAGGAGAGGAAAAAAGATTAACAGAAATACCAGAGGAATATAGGGACCTTGCTGAAGTCTTCAGTGAGGAGAGGGCGAATGAGCTTCCCCCCCACCGACCCACAGACTGTACCATTGAATTCAAGCCTGGGGCAAAACTCCCGAAACCCAGATTATACTCCATGAGCCCAAAGGAGAAGGAGGAAATGGAAAGATTTATAAAAAAAAACCTGGAGAGAGGTTTCATTGAACCAGCTAAGCCTAAAGTGGCTGCCCCGGTCCTTTTTAGAGAGAAGAAGGATGGCTCTTTACGTTTATGCGTGGATTATAGGGCCCTGAATACAATCAGTGAAAGCAACCTATACCCGCTGCCCCTCATGAAAGACATGCTGTCACACCTATCGAAAGGGAAAATTTTTTCTAAACTAGACCTAAGGGAAGCTTACTATCGCGTGAGAATCAAGGAAGGGGACGAATGGAAGACTGCATTTAACTGCCCCATGGGGTGCTATCAATTCAAAGTCTTGCCATTTGGATTACAAGGGGGCCCTGCAGTCTTTATGCAATTAATCAATGACGTTCTAAGGGAGCACCTGTTTAAGGGGGTCCTTGTTTACTTGGACGACATTCTTATCTTTACCGAAACAAAAGAAGAACACGTCAAACTTGTCAGAGCGGTTTTAAAGAAGCTGCGAGCCGCTCACCTATATGCCAAACTCTCAAAATGCGAATTCCACCAGGAAAGGATAGACTACCTAGGCTATCGCATATCCCCACAGGGCATTGAAATGGACCCAGAGAAGGTCAGAGCAGTATTAGAATGGGCACCACCCCGCACAAGAAAGCAACTACAAAGTTTCCTGGGCTTTGCAAATTTTTACCGCCAATTCATCCCCTCATTTGCACAGATAGCCTTGCCCCTCACCAACTTACTAAAAACGAAGGGAACATCCTCAGTAAAACCTAGCCAGCCACTAACATGGACAATGGAGTGCCAAGCAGCGTTTGAGAGACTAAAGAGA